ATGTGCCTCACGACGGACGAAAGCTCAACACGGAGTCATCGGGGTAGTAGGACGGTGAGCCAAAGTCTACTTTGCACAATTCAACAAACAAAATTCCAACGCAAGCCTCCTTTTGCATTATGTGCGGCTAATATAACCGCCTTCTTAAACAAAGTTAAAGTTATGCCAATATCAACATATTAAGGGATTCTTCGAAACCAAGCTTCTTTTCATCTAATTAGTTTCCTTTCTTTTTGCATATAGTTCGACAACTTTTGCTTGATTCATTTCACGTGGAATCCTGAAGGAACTCCGAGTCCATGTTGGCGCAAAGTAATTCCTAAATTTAAGTCCAACTGTCCTGCCCTCCTTACACCTCCTTATAGTGAATCGAGGAGGAGATGAACAAGTTCAACTGGTGTCATCCTGGCGATTTGAGCTCCAGGGCGAATTGCTGTAGAAGCGCTATACTTGCATTTTAGGCGCCATCATGCGAATCTCATCTTGGTGCCATCCTACCTGCAATACTGAAACTAAAACTCTGGCCTAAGAGATCCAAGTTTTAAAGTAAAGTTTACTGGATCAATAAAGCAAGGGATTCACCTCTTCGTAGGGATCAGGCGTTGGTTCGGGGCCCTCTTTAACATGCCTGTCAGCTCGAAGACGCTGCTTCTCAAACATGTTTGCTCCCCGTGACTGGAAGTTGTCAGGGGCGTGAAGGCTTTCTGCCACCTTTTTGGCCATTTCCATTTGCTCTTCAATCGTCGGGTAGTATCCGCTCGGGTCGCTATAAAAGGATGAGTCCGCAAAGGTTTTCTCTGATTTGCACAAAAGGACAGAATACGGGTTGAATGAAGCAAATTTAAGAATAGAATATGCAAGGCTATTTTAAAATGCAAATATGGTGAGAAAATGAGCTAAATACGCAGACTATCTACCTGCATAGCTTTAACTACACGCAGGTTCTGTGGATTTTGTACATTGCCAGATATTTTGCCACATCTTAGTCGTCCATTTTTACTAATAAATTGTCTAAGAAGGTACCATGTCCATGGTGGCTGGATTAGACTCGTGTCTAGCCAGGATTATCATACTACCGGTGACATGAGCATAACGTACACACAAGAGACACTAGCACAAGCCCAAACATAATTCAGCATTAGGCGATCGTATTCTAGTTTTTGTGTGATGAAACAGCTGCCACCGAACGCACTCCGATTCGGGAAGTTAACTTCACTCATTTGCAAGAATATAGAGTAAGTTTGAAGTTGCGAACCAAATCAGGGGAGGCCTTATTAAGATAGCGATGCTAGGTGTATAATAAAGCGACCAACTTTTCTCTTGGTTTAGTCTATTTTTGAGATCAAATATTGAGAGTTCCAACACAAAGACTTAAGACTAGGCTAAAGGAAACCCTTAAGGTATGCGTAAATAAGGGTGAGATGGAGAAGTGGAAAATGAATTCACTACTTCACAGAAATGCAAGGGGCCCCACGGCTTACGGTCCCCCTAAGGTTCACAAAGAGGGTGTCCCTCTAAGATTAATTATAAATAATAAAGGAAGTGTGATGCATAAAATCTCACATTTTTTATGTATACATCTACGGAACTCTGCCAATTTTTAGCTACGTCCAGTTAAAAATTCGTTTGATTTTGTGAAATTGATGGATCAGCAGACGCTTTCAGGAGAGGATAGGCTAGTAAGTTTTAATGTTGTGTCTATGTACACAAACATTCCTGTTCTATGAGCTATTCAAGCTCTGATACAAACTCTGGAGTCACATCCAGAAATAACAAAAGGAATAAGACTTACTGTAGCTTCCATTATTAGACTTATTAACCTATCCATGAGTCCAACATATTTTAA